GATCATGGAGGGCATGAATTAGAATCCCAATGACCCGACATCACAGGCACTGTCTAGACTTCACAGAGTCTGAGCCCCTTCAATTGTGGAATGTTCGGCTGAGATGGAATAATCTTGAAATATATCTCACAGAATTCGGATACGGCGATCTGTGAAGTCTAGACAGCATCTCTATTCATCAGTGAAAAGTACAGGAGCCTAGTCTATCTATCTGGCCTGGTCTATCCAATGGATGTGATCTTCAACCCAATCCAAACGTGCCTGCCTGTGATGTCGGGTCAATTGGAATCAAATTCATGCATGCATATGATTTGAGGTTGGATCAGGTGAGCTTAAAGAACCGATCTCAAACTCCTCCATCGGGGCACGATGAAAGGTGTGTGCTACAGAGATGACATTCTGGATGTGTATGTGAGATCTTATGCTGGTGTATTCGGACAGGAAATCATCCTCATGTACGTTAATGTACGACCTCATCGTGCATGGGTCGTTGATGCCTACTTTGTGCAAGAAAACTCCGATGTGGCCAAACCAGTCACCAGACTTTAACTTTATCGAATACATGTGGAACGTGCTGCAGATCGCCTCCTCACGATGCCCTGACAACTCTACGGGAACTTGGCAATGCCCTTACAGACGGGGAGGAAAATTTGCTAGAAACCATCCAGACACTTGTTGGCCATACAACAACGGTTGTGCCAGGCTATGATCGCATCACATGGATCATGTACGTGCAACTGAGGTTGTTGTTGTGGTTTTGGACAACGCATTCGTTTTTGTGTTGTTGTTTTTAGTCGTTTCAGTTTTGGTCAGATTCTCCCCATTTGACCTGTGATCTGATTGATTATTGGTCACATGTTTTTTGCTGGCATTGTGTGGTACATGACAACGGATTTTTGTTCATTAAATATGTCTTCACGCAATGCTGTCTTTGGCTATTTCAACAGATGCACACAATACACTTTAAAAGTGGTGATCCTCCGCACACTTTGAGTAGTATATATGGTATTCTCCAACTGTATTACATGCAATGCAAGTCAAGTGCTTAAGTAAGTTATAAGCGATAACTGTGATGTTTAAATTATACGTGATCACGAGCCGATTGTTTACTAATTTGATTTAGATTACTTGACTCATAAATAAGTAATCGGTACTTGCATGTAGCCATAAAACGCTGTGTATGTGTGCAAGGCGACTAAACTATGTCTTTACCCGTGGTACAGTCTTCACCCTTCCATCCAGATATGCATCCAGAAATGCATTTTCCTCTCACATGATCACAAGACGAATCTCCTGCACATTTGCTTTCTGAACAAGTGGTTCATTGGTTCCGTTATTACATTCTTAGATGGAAGCACTGAGTCACCTTTCTTTGTAAAACATGCATGAAGAACCAAACACATACAATATATGTTTGACGAATGCCTCCCTGCTTTGGACATGGATTATCAGATTAACATGACACAGATGATCACCGGTTTGATGCTTACAGGACAATGATCATGAATACATCGACATAGAGATAATAAATCACATACCATAACAAACACAAACTGCATATAAATCACTAAATGACTCAAAACAGATCATGACATTTAAAGATTAATATCCTTGGTAACCTTCAGTTGAACCGATCATCACATAGTTTGTTTGGTTCAAAGTTATACTTCTTCTTACAATTCCTCTTCCGTTCCAATTCCTCTTCCGTTCCACACATACTCCATGCATAATATTTTGCTTCTGTTTGGGAAAAGTATAGAAATGAAGTTTATATCTTCTAAGTCTGGTCCTGTTGGATATGTTCTATCTGTCAGGAAGCAAACATGAAACCGGAAATATACTACACTGTGAAGTCGAGAAGCCGTTTATCAAAGAACATTACATGTACAAAAAAGTGAAGTAGGTAGGTTTTATACATGCAGATCATTGATGTTTATACAAGGTTGAATGATGATAGATTGATGTCTAAAACCTACCTACGTCACATTTCTGTGCATCACTTGCTATCATATCTGTGTTTTGGTTAGTCAAGAGCCTCCTCTTCCAAATGGCATTTCTTTTTACATCATATTTCAGACTGGACGCGAGAGACACCATGTTGTCAGACATACGTGTAAGAAAAAACTGTCTTAATTAATTAATGTCCTGGCTGTCGTTGTTCAAAACAACCTCAGCGCTACGACTTTCGTGAGTCTGTGTTAAGGTATGGAAGTTACGATCACCTTAAAGCTTAATTCGCTTTGTAACAACGGCATCCAGGTGGAAACGAAGGACGAGTGTCGATGTTAGGAGTTCTGTAATACTTTGAATTCTCACATAATATGTGCTACTTGACACTTGTGCAGAAGTATGGCCAAGCTTTGTTACAAGCTGCCTCTACATTGAAGTGGAATGCTATGTCTTCTCAGAGATGTTTAACGGGATAATCGTATACTATAGAATAACATAATAGTAAACAGGGGGCAAACAATTAAGAGCAACGTTTCGGTGTAGGTTCTAAGACCGTTATCATCACTTGCTTGATAACGGTGTTAGAACCTACACCGGAACGTCGCTCTTAATAGTAATAAAGAAGTTGTTTATCCATAACTTCTTATCCTTACTATAAAAGTACGAAATGTGTAAAGTTCAGCTTCTCTAATCATTTTCGTAATAGATATACACTGTACAATCACTAGATATGCATGTACTTCACTGAAGAAAAAGTCGCTACATAACTTTGAGAGATCACTTGATAACAGTCAATTATTTTAGAAGCAAGTTAAATTCATACACATGTGTTGTACATATTAGCCCAAACATTTGGTACGTATATCTTCAAGATTTGTTTGAATGAAGGTTATGATGCTATGGATAAAGCTGCCCCCCATAATGAACTGGAGTCCTCAATTACAGAACAAGAGATACTAAATGGTATACTATCATCACAGAAGGGTAAAACTGTAGATTAAAATCTTCGTCCAAAAATAATAACAAAATATGTAACAGACAAGCAGGTTTTTACGCCCGGACATACTTGTTCACACTGACTGCTGGTATACAAGAATATTTTAAGTAAACTTAACGTTCCCTACGTCTTTTTTCAAAAATGCATTTGATTTTGTAGGCAGAAAACAACGTACGCATGTTCTCGAAAAATATGGTCTACCTATTAATTTTGATTATGATTCAGTCTATGTACTACGATATAACGGTAATAACAGTAGTTTTAATGAGTGGTTTGCTTGGCCTATCCCTGGACTGAAGCAGGGTGTATTAAGCCAAATTTATTGTTACTTTTTATTAATGAGTTGGCTGCTGAAAGTCTTGATACATGTCGAAGAGAAGTATAATTTTTGAAAGATTTACAAAAAACGATTCTATTAAGGTTTGCTGCTGATGATATTTTTATTTCTGATAAAGTAGATTAGCTACAAGAGCAACGGAATATTTTCGATGATAATTGTTTAGCATGGAAACTAAATGTCAACCTGTCAAAAAATAAAATATAAGTGAGATTGTTAAACAGTTTTGTGTTGTATATTCATTATGATATTGCAGAAGAACAAAGGTACCTTGGACTATTGATCATGACCCCCATCTTTAAATTTAACAAGAGCAGTGTCAAATTTGGCGTCAAATGGAAACGGTCACCTTTAAATGTTCTTATTGTGGCCTGGACATGGGGAAAATTCCTCTGATAATGTACTTCAAAATATGTAATTAAAAAATTAAGCCGATCATTCTGTGTGAATGCGAAATAAGTGGTCATCAAATGTTACGTGTACAGGTACAAATACTTGCGCTGTCTCGAACCTGTGACTCGAAGTTGGCATTTGTCACATCAACAGCTTCAAGAAACGCAAATAAGCAATTCACATAGTTGTTGTAAATTCTGCCATATACAGACTGTTGAATCATGAATAAAGTAAAAACCAGAGATCTCTTCTCTAACTTGGTTTCGTCCACAGAAGTCATGGGCATATATATAAATACCAAGACCACGTGCAACGCATTCAGCTGCTGTCGTTCCTACACGTAATACATGTACACGTGTACACATGTACACATGGACAATTGACACAATTTGTATGGGTCATTTCCTGCGTAATTACTTCAATAAGTCATTATAGGCACGTTATGTGTATTTGATAAATGATGTATGCAGCCGTATTGCCATGGATCTACAATACTGAGTCTGTTACTTGATCTGGCCTTCTGGATAGGTGTCCATTCCTCGCTGTCTCAACAGTCCGGATCCATCCTTAAAAAGCCCCCGAAGGCAATACATACCAAATAAATATTAATTCGACAATCAGTACAACGATTGATTCGCCTTATGGCAACCACAAATTATCAAGAATTAAAATATGTTGGGAATCTGCTATTGAGCAGAACATTAACATACTTAAAAGAATCGTGAACATATTATACCTAATAATATGATCTTCGATTATGTCGGTCAATAGCCTTTTATACAATAAACATTTGAAAATGAAATTTGAATATTCACCTGATCTAAGCTCGTTGTACATAATACAGGTACCAGCTGCCCAGGAGGAAAGTTCGGAGACACCTGTAGCTACTCCTGCCACTGTACTCCTCCCTGTAACCAGAAAACCGGAGTCTGCAACGGTGCCTGTGATCCTGGATGGTTTGATGGGAATGGGCAAACCTGTCAGAGAGGTGAATTTTCTTGCCAAAAGTGTGCGTGTGTGAGAGAGAGAGAGAGAGAGGGGGGGGGAGGGAGAGAGAGAGAGAGAGAGAGAGAGAGAGAGGCCTTCTACGATCTGACTTGCGTCTTATGTATATAGGTGCCCAGCGTCGACGGGATACCAATCTGAAAACACTGACTACCTACCGCAGCTTTAATTTTTCCTATCTTTTTTCACATTCAAGATATTTGACAGTGACTTTATGCAAGATATTCATAGGTGCACTGACTTATTATAGGTCCTGTTATCCATTGCTCCTGCCAGTTATTTGACCTATTGTGTTGCCTCTTGTGGAGATAAACTTAATCATGTTTGTTTCAATATAATGTGGTAACTATTCAATGATCTTGTGTGATTAATTACTGATGTCGCAATTTAGGTCTGCAAGAACCGATTTGTGGGTTAACCTTCGTGTTTGAACATAGGGAATCACCTCGTAGCAACATCCTGTAAAAAATCAAAAATGTTTGAAAGCCTTTCATCCCATTTATTCATCCAAATAGATGACACCACACTCACCCCATAGTTTGTATATTAAACCTTTCAGAGTCTACCACTAGTTATATCTATTTTTAAGCTACGCGGATGCTAACACCATAACGCGACTGATCACATGATGTTTGTAATCGTTTGAAATTGGATCTTTGATATTTTAACAAAAGTGTTTGTCCTTTGGGATATGTCCTTCACACATTCACAATTTCCGCATGTCTGTCACAGTAACCCCTATTTACTTTTGCAGTTATCACTTATCTGTTGGATCCACCAAGATCAATTTCCTAGGATTTAAGTAGCAACTTTTCCCTCATACAAATTGCAATGTTAAAGTTAATTTATCTTCGTACTTGTTGGTACAAGAGAACATTGCCTTCAACAAGACAGCATCTTCGCCCCCAACTGACTATGAACAAGATAAAGGCTGGACTGCAGACAAAGCCGTAGATGGGAACCGGGACCAGGATATGTACCGCGACTCCTGTTTTCACTCTCATTCTACGGCACCTAACCCTACGTGGACAGTTGACCTGGGACAGCCGTACAGGATACACGACGTCAGGATATACAACCGAGTAAATTGTATGTATCAGTTCAGGCAGCGTTGATTTGCAGGATATTACAAAACATTTTAGTACACGCCGATCAGGAACAACGTGTTTCTGTCACATTTCAACTGAATGTGGTGCCATTGTGTTATTTGACGTCCACACGTTCCAGCAACAAGATGATAGGTGAACTGAATCATATCAAGTGCCATGTGATTAGCTATTTGTTATTGTTAAAGAGCACCCAGTCACCCTCCGTCATTAAATCATTTCTTTCATTGCATGTTTTAGATCCTCAGTTGATCAGGACAGCTGTCCTCTCCCTGAGTAACTCCAGCAGCTCCATACCCGGCGTCACATGCTACACCTTCCCGAATGACGCAGCTAAAACAAACAACAGCGTGTACGACGTGACGTGTGACGGCACAGGGAGATACTTCACCATCACACACAGCACAGGGCTAAATCTGTGTGAGGTGGAGATTAATGGTATGGATAATTGCTCATTGCAGGCATCTGTGCGTAGGCAATATACTGGTATATTATTTAGTATATTATAATAGTTAACTGTGCATTGGCACTGCCTTTTAATAAGCATATATTTGATCTCTAGATAATACTAAAGCTCGGAACTTAAAACATTAATTTCACGAGTGACATATTGTCCGTAATCACTTCTACCTCGTGGGTATTTCTATAAATATTCAATGACTGTGACTTTTGTCATGTTTGCTCTCTTAAAGTGCACGTAAAGTGAAAACATTGATTGCGATGCTCCTTTGTGAAAGTGCTTAATCGGATTCCAAAACATATATATAAATGGACTAAAGCTAACGGCACAACGGTGCAGCAGTGCGGGACAAAGGGTTTCATTGGCTGATCTGATAGCTTGGTTTCAGCGTTTACTATATGCTCCATCTTGTGATGCTTATCAGCAATACAGATACGCCAGGAAGCAACCCAGAGCAAATCTAGAAGTGTTGCTTTTAATGTTAATCAAACGTTGTGGGCACTGTAAACGAAGGATCAGAGAGAAACTAAGCCTTGTAATGCGATTTAAAGAAACCGAGGTGGAGGATGGCAGAATGGCCACCGCCCAATCAGTGAAATTGCACAGTGCGTCAAACACCGGAAATGTTTTAACCCAAGTGGTAGATTTTTTGTTCGGGGACGATTTCACTTGTCATTTTCTTATCCTTTCTTTATGCTATTCCGTTTTTCTTCTAAAATTTTGGTCAAACATTTGTAAAGTATTGCGTGCGTGCAGTCGTGTGAGTGTGTGTGGCTGCTTGTACTAGTCCGGACTAGTCGTGCTAGCCTACTGAGGTACCATTCCACAGTTAAACATGAATACCCCCACCCAGACAGTATACTGACTCCGAGCTTACCAGTTTACAAGGTAAAGCTACAGTGTGTTTTTATATTCTGACAACAGCATAATTATGGCTAGAAAGAGTGTCACTGTTTGATTTATCCTTGTGACCAATGAAGCGATGACAGAACTGCAGACATAGATGGCTCGGACACGTGAGTGTATCCGTATTACTGGCCCTAAGACGAGGCTGACATAAAGCCAAAGAAATTCAGTCAGATGTATCTGAGACTCGAGACAAGGGTTACAGGGAGACATGATATTGTCGAAGTTGTAAAATATAATGGAAAAGTTTTTGTCACTTTTATTTACTGTTATTGTTTGTTGAGGAGCAATAGGGTAAACAATGAACTTTTACATGATCTATTTCGTGAGACCTCTGAGTAAGTATTTCAAAGTATACATACACAGCAAACATTTGGACAAAGTCAGACCATTGGTTTGAAAAAGACACATTTGAGCCCCCAAAGATTTTTTTAAACATAAAACGGATCAGGGAAACACAACACAGAGTTGGCTGTAGTCAAGTCAAGATGTGAATTACATTTAAGGCCTCCAGCCCATATAAATAGGAGCAAGATATAAGTCTTACACATTCGTGTCTAAGAGAAATAGAATGTTTGACATATAAAGACAGTTGTAATTATGACAGCATCCTTTTTGAAGAGAGAAGAGAAATTAACACAGATACAAGGTGCCTTGACAGAAAGCGTTCTAGTATAAACGTATTTCTTAGATCCCTGTGAAGCATGAAGTAGGGGACGCGACTGTAGACAAAGATGGCTGGGGCACGTGAGTGTATCCGCATTACTGGCCCTTAGACGAGGCTGACATAAAGACAAAGAAATTCAGTCAGCAGTATCTGTGGCTCAAGAAAGGGGTGACAGGGAGACAGGATGTTATGCAGATGGGGACATTCAGTTTGTCCTGTGTGTCCTGATTACAAAAAAGGACATAAATAGTAAAGTGTATTTCTCTTCCTATAACTAAACGATATGATGGGCACAACATCTTCTAATGTTTCACTGGACATTTTTGTTACCCATGCCTCTACAGGTGAAAAGATTGATGTTTTGGCAGTCCACTGTAATCAGACGCATTAGTCGAAGTAAATAAAGTAAGACTGCCAAACCTTGAGGTCGCAGAACCAAAAATGATGAAAGTCAGAGGCCGCAGATGCGATCACAAACTCGTAGGAATGGACAAGAGGTTAAGGAGGAACAGGACAAACACTTGTTATTTGTGTTGAATTAGTTTTGAATTTTCTGCCCTTAGTCTCGAGACCTATGAGTTGTGGATTTTCAGTATGCCGTTGTCCTCATTGTCCACATGTACATGATTGGGTTACAGACTGAAAAATATGTAGTTAATAATGAAACAGAACGATTACACATAATAAGAACAACTACAAAAGGGATTCTGGCTTTTCACTTGAAACCATAAATATTAATATTTGGAATGTGTTTATGACAACTATGTTCAAACACTATGCAAATACAAGGGGTAGTGAACCGTCCCAGTGTGTCAGGTAGGGATAATTTACGTTTCAAGGTTTTACATTTTTATGAAATACATAGATTTTCCAGAAGATAACTTAAAGTATATAATAAATAGGACAGGATACGAAGATATGCCGTGGCGGGGGAAAAGGATATATTTTCACGAGTGGTTACGCCAATATATCTATTTTTCAATCGTCACTGATGAGAGAAACATGATATTTCACTCGAAATCTCCTCTAGGTTAATGTGTTTATGCCTTGGTGCTTGCTCCACAGTGTGCTCAAATGGAACTTATGGGTCGAAGTGCAGCTATCATCCTATTTTAAGTTTGCAGTCCAGGAGTCTTTGGCGATAGCTGCAATCAGTTCTGCCATTGCTTCCAAGCAACGTGTGACCCAGTCAGTGGTGTGTGTCCTGGAGACTGTAGACCCGGGTGGCAGGGAGACAGGTGTGATACAGGTGAGGAGATTCAGTCAGTGGTGTGTGTCCTGGAGACTGTAGACCAGGATGTCAGGGAGACAGGTGTGATACAGGTGAGGAGATTCAGTCAGTGGTGTGTGTCCTGGAGACTGTAGACTAGGGTGGCAGCGAGACAGAAGTGATACAGGCGAGGGGTCGCCGTCAGTGGTGTGTATCCTGGATACCGGGTGCCACTGATGGGGCAGGATATGCTCACCTTTCAGCAAAAACCTGTAATCAGCACTAGTTCATAGTGATTCATGAACACATGCTCAAGGTATTGTCGAAATCGTAAAATGTTTCAGTGGATTTTGTCACTTTTATTTACAGTTATTGTATTTTGAGGAACTGTAAGGTGAACTATGAAATGTAAATGATTTATTTCATGAGACCTTTCAGTAAGTATTTCAAAGTATACACACACAGTAAACAGTCAGACAAGCCAGATCATTGGTTTTAAAAAGACCAATTTGAGCCTCCAAACATGTTTTTAAGAGAAATAGCATGTTTGACATATAAAGACAAGGCTAAATAATGACAGATAGTCATTTCTGGAGTTAATGTTGCTTCATGCCGTTTGTTATTCTCTTGAAAATATTTCGTTATAAACTGTAAATGTTAATTTTAAACTCGTCAACCGAATGTTACTTCACCAGCGTGTATTCCAACAGTGGTCTCGGAGTTTTCAAGAATATTTTGGGTTGAAGAGGATTTTGTATATAGTCATATCTATACATGTATGGTACAAAATTTTAGTTACCCAAAATATGTTTTGTTACTTTTGTTAATAGGTTTTTTGGATTTTGCAAACACGAAACTACTTTTTAAGTCGCAAATACAAGGTGTGGTGAACCGTCCCAGTGTAGGGATAATTTTTCTTTTAAGGTTTTACATTTTTAATGAAATACGTTGATTTTCCCGAAGATAACTACACAAAAAATATATAATATATAGGACAGGATACGAAGATATCCCGTGGCGGGGGAACAGGATATATTTTCACTAGTGGTTACGCCAATATTTCTCCTTTTCAACCGTAACTCGATGAGAGAAACATGATATTTCACTCGAAATCTCCTCTAGGTAATGTGTTTATGACTTGGTGCTTGCTCCACAGTATGCTCAAATGGAAGCTATGGGCCGAAGTGCAGCAACATGTGCACTCATAGGAATTGTGCAGGAGACTCGCCATGTGATCACATGAGCGGGACATGTGTTTCTGGGTGTAAAGCTGGATGGATGGGTGACGACTGCATGGAGGGTAATTATCATAGTTTACATTTTTAAGACATTCAAACATGTCGAAAGTGTATTCAATTGTAAAGGCTACTGACTCTCCTTTACAAGTGACTTAACATACATATCTAGCCATAAATAGAACACTTAATACGCTGCTATTTGTAATATGTAAATGACATTGTTACTTCTCCACAGTGTGCTCAAATGGAAGCTATGGACAGAACTGCCATAACTCGTGTACTGACAGAAAGTGTGCTGGAGATTCGACCTGTGGTCACATAAACGGGACATGTGTTTCCGGCTGTGCGCCAGGGTGGATGGGTGAAGACTGCAGAGAAGGTGACCATCTTAATAACCATTTTAACGTATTACTGACAATCTTCCAACAGTGTTATTAGCCTTTAAAACATGTGGTAGTATTAATAATACTTGTGAAGAACGAATACCTATCTTTAGCATTTAGTGGTGTAAGCAACCGCTGACAACCGTCTGTAAATATACGAGGTTTGAAGTATAAAAACAGTATTCATTAAAATAAATGTACCTTGTAATGAAGCCTTTATCTCGAGTCGAATTGAAATCGTTGCACGCCGAGATATTTGCAAGAAGATGAGGGCTGCATAAGTTTTATTCCACCTATATGACGTTTGCCTTTAATCATTTCAATCTGTACCAGACAAACCATTAACTGATATTTGGAGCAATGTCTCACGCCATTGGGTACTATGTCCCGCTGTCAATCTGAACACCAAGCATTATCACCCTGTCATGGTCGCCTCATACGACAAGCATAGGTTGCGGGGACATGTACGAAGAAAAATGTTTAACATAAATTGGCCAAATGTTCCAGCATGAAATTCAAAAGAATGCATCATTTTGTCCAACCCACGTGTGTTCTACAATGCAAATCACAAAGATACTAATTGATCCTACTATAAAAACATGTTAAAACAAAATTTAATCCACCAAACACTATGTTCAACTCTATTTCACCCCTGTATGGTGCCTGGTCATGGCTTAAGTTTGAGATGTACAGAAACAGATTATTCATACATTGTAACCAATACCCATTTAGTAAACATTTCATATTCTGTTTATACTGTTTTTTCTGAACATTGGACCGATGTTAAATACGTTTTAAACTGGTAGTTATCATTACAATATTAGCATTATTATTATAAACATAGCAATAAATATACTCTGTTCATGACATTAAGATTGCTCCGCAGGGTGCTCAAATGGCAGCTATGGACAGAACTGCAATAACTCGTGTCCTGACAGGAAGTGTGCTGGGGACTCGCCATGTGATCACATAAGAGGGACATGTGTTTCCGGGTGTGCGACAGGTTGGATGGGTGAAGACTGTAGGGAAGGTGACCATCTGAATAACCATTTTAACGTTTTACTGACAATCTCTCAATGGTGTTATTAGCTTTCATAACATGTGGTCGTTTAAATAACTTTTGGTGCAAATAGTGATGTACCCAACCATTGGGGTTTGAACAAGCATTAAGACAATAAAAAACAGCATTCATCAAAATGTATGCTTTACAAAAGGAACCTACTATAACATGTTCAAAACAATGAGCCGTTTCGAAATCACGCAGAACGTTATAACCAATCATATTTTGTGTTGTAACAAATCATATTAAGCTAGAACCAGGTTTTGTATTGTATTAGCACTATTTCACCTTTATGACGTTCGCTTGTCTGTAATTGAGTCTGGACTAGACTCTTACTACCCTTTCACAGTCGCCTCTTATGAAAAGTATAGGTAACAAGACTATCTCTTAAGGACACTGATATCAAGTAAATTTCCCTTTGAAAATAACCTTTTTAATTAAATTCCACATGTGACGAAAATGCACATAACTGATATTTTGAATTTGATAATAGGCATAACAATATTTAGCAAAAGGGTTCCAATATGTTCGTGACATTGTTACATCTTCACAGCATGCTCAAATGGAAGCTATGGACAGAACTGCAACAACTCTTGTACTGACAGGAAGTGTGCAGGAGACTCGCCATGTGATCACGTACGAGGGACATGTGTTTCCGGGTGTGAGCCAGGGTGGATGGGTGACGACTGCAGAGAAGGTGATTATCGTTGTTAACAGTTGGAGTTAAACATAGGAATATATATCAAACGTGTATTTCTCGACGTGAGTGAGTATTGACAGTCGCATCGGCAATATTCCAGCCATATAACAACTATTAAAAACGATACGAATATGCTCTGAGTATATCTTTGACATATGTAACGTATTGAGATGAACTATTACTTAAATCCATTTATATTGTCCATGTCGGGTACAATTCATATGGCAGTTTCATGTTTACACAATATTGTTCCAGTCTGTGACATTGGACGTTACGGAGCTAACTGTGACAAGACCTGTTCCTCCAGACACTGTGTGGGGGACTCTTCATGTTACTCAACAGGGCACTGTGACTGCGGGTGTGTGACAGGATGGACAGGAGCGGACTGTACAGGTAACTATGTCAACAGGAAGCTAAAGCTGTGAGTGAAGAGTTGGCAGTGGCTGGACGGTAATATAGCAAGGTATTTTGTGTTAAAAAGGTTTTGATTATCTGTAAAATAGAGAAATGCAGCATCAAAGGTTGGGATAGAAGTGTGAAGAGCAGTGGAAAGTGAAAGGTAATGCTATCGATGCGCTACATCGTTTTCAGTTGGAAAGATAGAAAACTTCTCCTCAATACTTTGTAATGAATCATGTGTGATGAACATGGTTTGTTATGACAGCCGTACGATTTTGAAACAGTAGCATTCTTGTGTTCTCATTTATCTCTTTTTCTTAGAAATCTGATCGTCTCAAATATCAATGTGCCTGGGAAATAATACAGACACCCTGTCCTGTTTCATTAGAATATATCGGATCATCTTTTGCAAAATCTGTTTTACAGATATGGTTCAGTTTTCTGTATACCGTTATCTCAATACAAATTCAAATTTCCATTTGGACAAAGACGATAAATCTTTCTGAAAGTGCAACAAGTATTTGTCCAATCGCGTTTCATCCAGTCATAGCAAAACCGAATTGTAGGCACGTGTTAAACACTAAAATGTGTGTTCCTGTTTTTCATCGATCCCCTTGGCTACGTCAAACCAAACGACAAGGTATCTCAGTGGGCTAGCACTCTCAAAAATGCAATTATCCGGACTAGTACAATAAGACACACACGTATGCGCGCAAGCACAAACATACATGCACGTGGCAATAAAGAACAATAAAATGCAACGTGACGTTTAACCTAAATCCAACTCAAACACCTCATCTGTGATATCTGATTGTTGTCATTTTATAAATCTTTTAGTTTTCGAGGGTGGCTTCATTTAATGATTCAAAGCAAATGATAGGAAATTTATCGAAATATAACGAGATTTGTCTCACATGTGTACTAACCAAGATAGTAAAAATAGTAAATGGTAAAACAAATGTCTTAAATCATTGAGTGATCTTGTCTTTTATGTACATGTATTCAGAAGACTTGAGGAGTGTACAAGCAGCCGGATATAACGCTAGCCAGTTGGCAGTTGCCGTGGCAGTGGCATTCGTGGCTGGTGCTGTATTAGGTGGCATCGTCAGTGTTGTTGTCTGGAGGAGAAGGAATAGGTAAATGGTCACTCTGATCAAAATATATATATTTCAAAGATAAATTTATTTTTTTTAATGTAATATGTTATTTCGTCCAAAGATAGGATCATACCTGAAAATGAACATGACGTCATATTGGATATTCTGTCTATGTCTCTCATGTACTTGTTTATACCAAGCTTTGAATGTCTTTACGTTCCAGATGCCATCACAAGACATCTGAATCGCACCCAACCAATGTATCCACCGCTCAAACTGAACGATCGCAGGCCAGTGATGACGTTGGCCCAGAAACTAGGCCATACGACAGTCTCAATGCCGTCTCATATGACGCCACGATGAAAGGAGAGACATACTGCACGATTACATCTGGCAAAACAGATTTAGGAAGTGATGCCACTGTTTTGACGTCATGTGACGTGTCCGACTCTATCGGAGCAGGGACCTATGAAACCCTTGACAACACGTCACGGGGAACGGATGGTGAATATAGTGAGATCGGGAAAGTTGAGTGACTTTCTATTGACAAACCTACTGTTTAAACAAAATAATATATTGGTACTTGTACCTATAGTCAGGAAAGTTGCCCATCAACTCTAAGATTTATCTCTTTTTTAACGTTTTAAAATTGCAATAAATAAATTCTTAATTTACGTATTTCTGTAGCGTTAGGTGTCTATTGATCCTGCAAGCGACCTCACACACTCGGACACTACATGGCACAGTTACAATGTGAATTATGTTCAATTAGAGTTTTGTTAGCATAAGGCATATATGTGATACATCTTATGCACATGATGACGATAATATCATTTGAAATTCAATTATGGTTTCTTTCAATATTTCAAACATGGAACTTGTGGGCAGGCACTTAATACATCGGGAAAGTAAAAAGAATATCACACTAATGTTCTAATTCTAATTACACTAATGTAACTTTTAGGCCCTGAAGCTGGCCGATATGCTGTACAACTGGTTTCAAAAACTTAACATTGTATGTTTTGTTCAACTTTAGCTATGCACGCATTTATATTAGTTGTGTTAATGCAACACTGAATTGAAACGGAATACTTGATTAAACAACATATGTTCCTGCATGCGTGGTTTTGTTTCAAACAGATCACATGATTCAGCATTGGCGGTGAGTCAGAACTTAACACTATGCTGTAACTCAATGTCCCCTGCTGTGAACTGTGAATAGTTTTACCATTATATTCATACAACGAGACTTAACATAAATGTATTTTTATTTTTCTATATTTAATTTATAGCTGGTGTTTGCAATAATGGTGACACCACCTTTGTATGTAGTCGGTGAACTGAAATACATAGACATGACAAATTTACATGATCTGTAAACTTGTATATATATATATATATATATGGATTGCGATTATATACATGTATATATATTTTTTTAATTGGACGTTTACACGATATACGGCTTTTCCTTTGGACGAGAAGTCGGTTCATACGTTTTTTCACAAGACCGTCTTCTTGAAAGGACGTAAACACTGACGGACTACTTCCACATTTCTGGGGAAACCCCTGGGAATTCCCTAGCACGAAAACATGCATAAGCGTTCTTTCTGATCATTTAGAACCTTTAATCTTGGTCTCAGCGTTTCAGTATACATTAAGAAACGTGATAGAGCTTGACTGCATGATTGTTCACGAATATCCTCGCTACGGCCCATCCTAATGAACAAACGAAGAAATGCACATCCAAACTATCGTCAGCATCGACTCGATCTGTGACTAGGTTGACAGTGACCATCTCCAGCAATCTTCGAATTTACCTCAGTGTCTGTTTGACGCATCTTTAATCTCCTTTTAATGATTGGTCAGTTGATCAATGATGACTAACACATGTAACCGGCACAGGTTCATTAACAATCGTGTCGGCCATTTTGACGTCTTGTGCTTGGTGTAAATGTATTGTGGCTGACTTACTGAGGTATTTCTTGACAGACCTTTCTCATCTAATGGTGCTATTATTTGAATATATGTGTTGCGTAAGATGTTTCTGAAGAGCAGGTTGTGCATCCATTCGCTCATGTCACCTCTCTTTTTGAGGAACTATTTTATTCCGTGATATAGCTTGTAGTTGTATGTCTGTCAGTGTAAACATGAAGTCATGCGTAATAAATAAAATTGTGTTTAGATGTTGGCCTACATCTTAGAGGTAAGAAATTATGATAAAAAAAAATTAAGAATTTTAAACAAATGTTATAACAAAATAACAATGTTACCTTTTTAATGAGGCATGTCAATATAATGTTCACATGCTTTGCTGACAGGAAAATAGTCCACGTCGTATTTCATCAAAAGTCATTTTATTATTAATTACCTCCCTTCATAACAAGGGAAGCTTTGTTGATAAGAAGTAAAGTTCATATTAAATTATCACCCTTTCTTACTGGGGGCGCTTCAAAAGCGTCTATTATTATCTCTCTAGGGCGCTACAGCTGTACAAACATATTTGTGTATTCATTTTGTTTGTTTGTTTTTTGGTTGTTGTATTTCATTGTCAGGTTATATTGCATATGAAAACACACCAAGTAAGTTAATAGGCTATGTTGTGCAGACCAAGCAAACCACCTTTCACATTTTGTAAACCTAGGTAAACCCAGAGTAGTATCATGTGTAATGGGTCATTCTATACGTAGCCTCCAGCCCTGCTTGTAATCTCTATGCACAAGGAGACTTTAGCGTCATTAACATTTTATGACTATGATAGTCACATGTTTGTTATTGTTTTAATGTCTCACTACGTTTTCTGTGTATGAGTTATGTGTATAAACTATGTTAGTAAGAAAACATGTGACGACAGTAGTAAGTCTAGAATTATTTACTCAAATTCTAAAATATATCACTCATATTTGTATTACTGGACATAGATAACATTTACTTGATTTATTGCTTTTCGTATAGTATAACATCTTTGCAATTATATTGTAATTATAAACGACCACCTGCGCTCCATTAATAAAAGGAATCAAAACTCTGTGCCCACGGTTTCCTTCTCATTTTAAGGTTCTCCAAGTATGCAATTCCCGGTACCAAGCGATGTCTCTATCTATTCACTGCGATAAGCCAGCAAAATGGGGCGTTTCCTAAAGCTGTTCATCTCGAGTAATTTTGAGAGTGAAAAGGAGAAGCATGAAGAAATCACTAACATGGAACCTATATACCGTTTATGATTGTATGAGTAGGCGCCTCTACTGAAGTCCATAACAACGTGGTTGTCAGGAGTTAAACCTAAATTATTGAAAACATGTTTCAAGTTCTATTCTGTCAAATTCAACCGAAACTAACTTGCAATATGAAGTAAATTAAAGTTTGAGGCAAAATGACGGTGATCTTGAGATTTTCATCTACGCTGTCCAAAGCAGTGTGAAAAGATTGGAACGAGACAATGTTTCTTTCGTTTTACTGGCAATGAGTCAATTTTGAAAATGGTGCAACCCTTTTAGTGATGTGACGTCACCATGCCAGGCGGCGAATTGGAAGGGAGGTACAGTGGTTGTGCTCTACGTGAATCGTGTTGTTAAGTGTAAGTGGAATTACAGAAAAAAGAAAAGTAAAGGGGTTCAACACTATTTTACCAGGACATATCATAATCCCGCTTTTTGAATGATCAGCCAGCGGTATGGAATCTACGCTAGACGATATATCTTTCTGAGGATCGAATTGCCGCGAAAGAATAATATCAACATGGCTTGACTTTTGGCGATCACGTACTGTGACTTCATGTCAACCGTGTCACACTGCTTAGACTTCTCACCCTTATGACGTCATAATAGTAGTGTGTACTCTAGGAAAACAAACATATTACAAAGGTCTCTTTGGGTATTGGGTCCTATTAACTTGGTT